ACTGAGTTTCAGAGGGATCTCATCAGGACTTAATTCTGCTTGCAAATGTTACTTTCAACTTGCACCTCACTAGACAACTCGACTAATTAATCAGAAGGCAACCTCCAAGCTAATATATTAAATAGAAAAGCACTGAACTCTGCTGTATCTGTCATCAACCACAAGCAGAATGGAACACACCAGACCAACAAACTGCTGATAAATAAAATACCTTATCTTAATTACTGCACTATGCCTTTACTAGACAGGGGAAGGGATCCCGTTTAAGAGTAATTTAGCACTTCTTTCCTTTATAGTGTTAGGAAACTGATAATCCTAAGTCTCATACATTAATGCAGTTCTTAATGGTTTCAAGAGTATAATCAGCAACATCTCCTCTTATTGCAAACCATGCAGGTAAAAATGGAGGCTTCTACTGAATGTTACAGAGAAAATGAGAGGCAGCTGCTGATGGTTATGATTCCTACCATAGCTGTAATGCTTTAAAAAAAACCCCAAAAACAACAAAACTTGCCAGCTGATGCTTTGCCTCCATTTTCATAGTTACCACTTTAAAAAGTGGTAGTAGCTCCAAGGCTTCAACACATGCAAACATCCACATGCTGACACTCAGAGTTGTGTTTCTGAGACAAAAAGAAGGTCTTCAATAATAATTTTCTTCTTTAGACATCACTCATCTGCCTTAAACGCAGTCGCAAACCTGTAGGCGTTTGCTCAAACGAAGCAAGCTATCCATGAACAACATGTTGCCTGTCCGTGAGAAGAGAAAGACGCCCGAGTGCAGGTCCCAGCTCTTTCCAAAAGCACAGCCTGTTATAGCTGTTCCTATGGAACCACAGCAGCCACCAAACCTCTCTGCATGAAAGTCCTGTGGCAGAGGGGAGCCCTCTGGAGAGGTCCCCATCCAACCCATCCTGCTGGGAAACGCTCGCAAGTGGATCCCCTCCTGCTCCAACAGAGGAAGAGATCTGCTCCACAACCCGTACACCTGCGGTCTGGAGGATCATATGTATGAGACATACATAACCCTAAGTCTAACACAATTTAAATCCAGTTGTAAAACTAGTTCATTGCTTATTTTGGGCACAGCAGAGGAAAGGTGTTGGAAACGAAGCTGTCAGTCTGTGCAGAGGAGCTGTAGGAGATGGAGAGAGAAAAGGAAAAAGGCACAAAGATACAGATGAGAAGGGGGGAATAAAAGGGGAGAGCAGGGAGGGGAGAGGAAAAAAAAAAGTAGTAGTAATAATCCAAAATGAGATTAGTTTTATTAGTCTTCAAAGAGCTGAGCACATTTTCCTGCGCTGAAAAAGGCAAGAAGCTCCTGAATTATTAGTCTTCAAAGAGCTGAGCACATTTTCTTGCACTGAAAAAGGCAAGAAGCTCCTGAGCAAGCAGTAATCACTTATTTCAGTGTCAGCTATGGTAAAGATGAGCTGTATTCCTTTTCACCAACCCTCCACTAGAAACTGGAGACAGAACTGCTGTTGAAAGAGGAAATAAAGGATACCCCAGCAGGCACACCACTTTATAGCCCACACATACCACACCATTTGGTGCTCTCTACGCAGAAAATTTCACATGCAAAGGTATCTTTACGTGCTGCTTTATACTGCAGTTTACCCCGAGCAGCTGCTGAACATCCCCTTGTGCACACAAACCAGATGTGAGCTCCATCCCTGTCGTTCCAGCAGCCAACACTTTTGCACTGTATTTTTAATGAAGACGCAATGCAAATATTTAGTGCGCAATCAGTAGCTTTCCCGATTGCTGTCACAGGGCATTTTCTCTGGCTGAAGAAGACCACAGAGATAAATTTGTTACACCCATGCACACGGAAGGAGCTTCTCAGCCACAGATGAAGTAATGAAGCTGGCAGGAACAAATTCCACATCATTAAATTATAAATTAACCAGAAGACCTAAGGAGTAAATATTTAGGGGAGCTCACTGAAGCCTTATGGATAGGAGCATCACGACTAATTATTCCAGTGATCATTTGAAGACGGAGTTAGGAAAGATTAGAAACAACACAAAAATAAATCTCACCAATTAAATGCGTAAACGCAGATTAATGCCACATGAGTAGCTAGCACATGAATATTCAATGCAATTATTAAAGCATTAATGAAACAGCCACAGACAATCTGATTTTCATTTTTAAATAGGCAGCTGCAGAAATGCAAATCTGCACATTTTTATCTCTAACTTCCTAATTCAGGAGTAAAAGGTGATTTGTTCAGGGTGTAGAAAGTATCACTGGAGCTAAAGGGCAGTGCAACTGATTAAGGTATTCCAGAAGACAGAAGAATGACAAATTGCTTAGAACATGCTGTAGACACAGCATTAATGAAACAGCCACAGACAATCTGATTTTCATTTTTAAATAGGCAGCTGCAGAAATGCAAATCTGCACATTTTTATCTCTAACTTCCTAATTCAGGAGTAAAAGGTGATTTGTTCAGGGTGTAGAAAGTATCACTGGAGCTAAAGGGCAGTGCAACTGATTAAGGTATTCCAGAAGACAGAAAAAGAGGAATGACAAATTGTTTATAACATGTTGTAGACACTCCAAGGAATTAATTCATTAAAGCAAAAGGATTATTTAAGATGATTTCCATGCTTCTATAATTTCTCATCATGCGGTTCAGAAAGGAACTTCTACTGCATTCCATTTGTTGTTATTCAGGACAGCAGAACTGCTGGAGGGCGCAGCCAGAGCTGAAAAGCAGGCAATTAACACAGAAAGGATAAACCACAGCAGAAGCTCTTGCCCAAATTTCAGCCCCCTGAGCCTTCCTCTGACAGCAGATAACGCAGATGGTGGCAGACAGAAACCTCCTCCACAGGCTGCAGCTAACAAGCACACAGAGTAAAGACGACCTGGCAACCTGCAATTTCAGCGCAGGTAAGAGGTGGTTAGAGGCAGCCAGTGGAGAGACCCCATCTCCAACCTCTTACTTCCACCGGTTAATATTAATAACAAAAATTCTGGGTATGGGGATTACATCCATCACCAACATATAATTGCAGGTCACCGTGCTGTGCCTAAGATGTAAATAAGGCTAATAAATTCTTATTTTGTAGAGTCTTTAGAGCAACCCGAGTAGCAACTCTGTTTAAAACACCAGTGATCTTGATCTGTCAAACAGCAGTGATGGAGACTGAAAGAGCCACGGTGTAGGTGCTGCTGTCAAAATCAGTTGTGCCTTACCAGATCATGTCTATTTTCTTAGTAGAAAGGAAGTCGAGAGAGGTTCTCCTCCCCCTCTACTCTGCCCTGGTGAGACCGCATCTGGAATATTGCGTCCAGTTCTGGGCCCTCAGTTCAAGAAGGACAGGAACTGCTGGAGAGAGTCCAGCGTAGGGCTACAAAGATGATCAAGGGAGTGGAGCATCTCCCTTCTGAGGAGCGGCTGAGGGAGCTGGGGCTCTTTAGTTTGCAGAAGAGGAGACTGAGGGGAGACCTCATTCTTGGTAATAAATATTTCAAGGGTGAGTGTCACGAGGATGGAGCCAGGCTCTTCTCGGTGACAAACAATGATAGGACAAGGGGTAACAGACACAAACTGGAACACAGGAGGTTCCACTTCAATTGGAGAAGAAACTTCTTCTCAGTGAGGGTGACAGAGCCCTGGCCCAGGCTGCCCAGAGAGGTTGTGGAGTCTCCTTCTCTGCAGACATTCAAAACCCGCCTGGACGCCTTCCTGTGTAACCTCATCTGGGTGTTCCTGCTCTGGCAGGGGGATTGGACTGGATGAGCTTTGGAGGTCCCTTCCAAACCCTAACGGTCTGGGATTCTGTGATTCTGTGAAGTAAGGCAGTAAGGCAGTATCTCTGCCATCCAACAGTGCAGATGTAGGGTATTTCTGAAACATTGGCTATTTTGCAACGACTCCTAAGTAATGAAACACTGCACTGTGCCATATCATTTTCTTTTGAAATTATCTACTACGTGGGTATCACAAATCGCCACATTCACATACACAACTGACTAACTTCACAGCAAAGTATTTTTCTCATTCCAGCTCTCATATGGATCCTTAAACTAACAGATACCTGATTTCAAAGATGAATATTTTACCATTTCCAACCCATTCTCCCCTTTCTTTCCCCTCCTGCAGTACGGCTTCAGGGCCATCACAGTAATCCAGATATCTGCCACTGTTTCGCTTGATTAATTTGATCATGGGCTGTATTGTCAACATGGAAAACTGTACCAAGAGCCTGCAGCTAACCAGTGAGGGCACCAGGGACCATCTTGTTAACCGAAGAACATACAGTAGCCCAAAAGATCTTTATCCTAGAAATTAAATACCTCAAAGCTCCTCAAATTGGCAGGCTCTTGGGGTGAAGGGGAAACACTTTCTAACAACCACTCTCCTTGGGTGACAAGTTCATTTTCATGCAATATTTAAAGAAATAAGGATTTCCTGCACGGCTGTTACAGTGTCCTTAGAGACATCATTTTCAGGCACTCTGTGCAGTTGTGGCTCTGCTCCCTCGTAACTCCAGTCAACAACAGCCACAGGCAGATTACGTAGCTGGACTTTACCATCACAAATAAGAACCTATAAGAGCACTCATAAACCAAGCAATCTTTTTTTTTCCTGTTGTCAGCATCACGTACAAACACAAAACAGCTCAGAATCTCGCGCTTTTCTTTTTAAAAATTCACTGACGATTAAAAAAGTATCTCCACATTTTGCTAATCAAATTAAAACAGCATAATCTTATAAAGCACCGGGCTAATTTTAGTCCTGAATACTGATGAGATCTGTGGTTACTGCTGCTACCTGTCAGTGGCCATGATCTCCACGGCATTCATAAGGCTTTACTGTTCACTAACTTAGGCAACTTATCCTCTTGTGAAATGCACTGAAGCACTGGATGAAACACAGATATTGCAAAGTATTTCATGAGCTATAAATATTTCCTGAGCTATAAACTAACGAGAAGGCCACTGGCCAGAAATTTTAAGCCTTCTACTCGTGGTCTACAAACCTGGCCATCTGCTTATACGCTTCTTCAGCCACCGCAAAGATATGTGGATCCATATCCCCCATGTTTTGGCCACTGTACGCATTGATGATATCTTCGCCATAGATAGGCAGTTGTTCATAAGGATTTATGGCCACTAAGACGATACCTACAAAGGAAATTAGACAAAAGGGGTTAAGAGTTATTTAAAAATAAACCCGGAAAAAGGCTTTAACCTCAACTATTGTTCTAAAATATTAACTAGAGAAGGACAAGCATCTGATAATACTGACTTCAGCGGATAGTTGTTCTGACCACAGCTTTGCGTACAAAAAGCATCAGAAAAGCTGACTTCCACCCTGCTTTAGGAAACACAGGGGACAACATTTTCTCTCTATCTGCCTTTCCTAAAGCTAGCATGCACAAAACAACCTGATTCAGAGGGTGTCGACTTGGAAAACTGCCTGCTCAGTGCAGTAAACCAATGTGCACTGTATTTCCCCATGTTTTAATGTGAATTATGAGTGATAACGTGATTTCTGAGTTAAAATAACAACATGGCCTCGCTGACTGTCAGTTTGGACACGTGAAGAGTGTTAAACCATTACGGTCCGCCCAGGAATAACATCTTCAGTTTTTGTAACAAACAACAAAGTAGGGTCCTGGTGCAATTTCGATTCCAGAGCATCTCTGCCAGTCAGGCAGGACAACCTCCTGCTCAAAGAGATCCCAAAAAACCACACGTAGACATATTTCATAGTGCTGATGTACATAGCCACGTCAAGAAATTAAGGAATTACAACTCTAGAAGGCACAATAAAACCCTCATCTTATGCATCTGTGTGTATAACTACTTACACCTTCCATTTTCTAGTTTTTCCATCCCTTCCCATCCATTAAACAGGTATCTGCCTGTTTAATTACTACATTACTACATTACTACAGCATTTCTAAACTCATGCCATCCTTTCACTCTCCCCACACAGGAAAACTTAAGTCTTACCCTGTACATCCTTCCTAGCCACAAAGTGAGATCTCAAATGCTCTTGGTATGATTTTCTTGTTCACGTGAAACAAGGATTGCTCTGCCCACAGGGATGATCTGACAAAGGTTACTTATACCTTTCTCTCCCGCAGCATTTACAATGGGTAGGGAACACTTATTTGCTCCATGCAGGGGTGAAAACACTGATCACTGCCACGTGAGACCCAGCTGAGCCAGGGAGCTGGGGCTCTTTAGTTTGCAGAAGAGGAGACTGAGGGGAGACCTCATTCATGTTTATAAATATTTCAAGGGTGAGTGTCACGAGGATGGAGCCAGGCTCTTCTCGGTGACAAACAATGATAGGACAAGGGGTAACGGACACAAACTGGAACACAGGAGGTTCCACTTCAATTGGAGAAGAAACTTCTTCTCAGTGAGGGTGACAGAGCCCTGGCCCAGGCTGCCCAGAGAGGTTGTGGAGTCTCCTTCTCTGCAGACATTCAAAACCCGCCTGGACGCCTTCCTGTGTAACCTCATCTGGGTGTTCCTGCTCCGGCAGGGGATTGGACTGGATGAGCTTTGGAGGTCCCTTCCAATCCCTGATGTTCTGGGATTCTGTGATTCTGTGTCAGGCAAACTGTGCTCTCTTGACATGGCAATTCCTCCTCACCTTGACAATGTGATAAGGGGGAAAAAAAGAAGAAACTCTGATTTTAATTGTGGCCATTATAAAACCAGAATTTCTTCTTACATATATCTATATCTTGGTGCCTAAAAGGGACAACGCAGGTGCAGATGGCCGCACAGTGACTATAGCAAGCATGGTATGCACCCTTCTTGGACAAACCATCCCTGAAGAACCTGCACCAGAAGCTTTTCCATAGCACCCAACTCGCTTCTAAATTTACACAGAAATTCACAGGCACACGCAGAGACTTCCTTAATGCAGATCCCAGCCCTCTGCTCAGTGCTGTGATGTCTCTCTAAGAAATCTTCTGTGGAAAAGCTGGGAGAAGGGAAGTGAAAGCATCTACAGTCTGGCACTGCTGCTGGAGCACCATCCCGTTTTTAAATCCTGTCCTGCATTTCTAGATCAAGCACAAACCACAGGGAAAAAAAACACATTAAACAACAGCAGAACATCTTTCAGGAAGAGATCTGAGAGACCTCAATTTCTTTCCTCAAGTATACGGCAAGTTTTACGTCTGGACACACCTCTGAGGTACAGTCAGTGTTTTTCCACCAGCCTTGACTTCACTGAGGTGACTCAGAAGCTCAAGTGAAAAGTCTCTGTAAAGATTTAAGCCAAGTTCTAACACTGTGGTGAGAAGCCAAAAAATAAGAGAGAGGTTTAGGGAGGAGAAGGGATCTCAGTAGTAGCAGACTCAAGGAATATTTTTGGTGTCGGCTTTTAACATCTGCCCTTTGCAACTGCAAAGTAGTGAAAAGTGAAGCAAGGCCACGCTGCCAAGCTGAGCCTCCCAGGCTTGCAAGTCCAATCAAAGAGATATTACAAAAACACGCTGTGTGAGACTTCAGACAATTCCCTTCTTGGCAAAAATAAACCCTTGAATTCAAAACAAGCAGCCCCATGACAGGTCTCCAGCGTATTAAATCACTTCACTTCAGTAGCAATCTGTAAAATCAACAAGCAACCATCATCTGGAAATAGCCAAAACAACTGAGTTAGGAATTACACAGAACTTTAAAATCAGTCTGCCTCATAGGACTATAATCCAGATTGATTTATGTATAACTTCTCTTTATCTCCACTAAATCAAATTGCTATTTTAAGAAACATCACAGCCTTTCCCAAATCAGATTTGTGTGTGGTTTTGTTCTTAAAAGTACACTAAATGGGAACTCTGGCTACTCTTTTTGCCATTCTTCTTATATATACTCAAAATAAGTGTTTCTCATTCTTTTATCTTGAACATCTTCACCCATCTGTGGACAAGCTGGGTATTAACATAAATAATTTCTTAATTTAAACTCAGGTTTGCTCTCCTGCATAGCAGGCAGTATTTTATACATCTAAACTAGCAGTACTCACTGAGTTTTCATCACAGCCATAGCAGTTTTTCCACGCCAGCATTCACATTTTCCTTTGTAATTTTTCAACTTCCTTCATTAATTCTTCATTTCACATTGCCAACAGTAAAGCAAAGTTATAAATCACCTCTGAATTGCTGGTGAAAGGTTGACTTCAAATTAAGAAATCGGGAGGTTTCTGTTTAAAAGTCTGTATTACTTCAAAGCGAAACCTTACAGAATTTAATATCCATTTGACATATTACGCTAAGACAGCGTGGTTGAATGGATTTCTAGAGTTGTAGACATCTACCCATCCCTAGTTCTGCTGGCTGAGAATAATGTTACGATAATTAGGATAATAAGGATGGGGAGGGCTCTGGAGAACAAGCCTGATGAGGAGCGGCTGAGGGAACTGGGCTTGTTTAGCCTGGAGAAGAGAAGGCTGAGGGGAGACCTCATCACCACCTACAACTGCCTCAAGGGAGCTTGGAGAGAGGTGGGTGCTGGGCTCTTCTCCCAGGTGATGGGGATAGAACAAGGGGAAACGGCACCAAGCTGTGCCAAGGGAGGTTCAGGTTAGAGAGAAGGAGGAAGTTCTTTACTGAGAGGGTCGTCAGAAGCTGGAACAGGCTGCCCAGGGAGGTGGTGGAGTCACCATCCCTGGATGTGTTTAAAGAGCGGGTAGACGAGGTACTTAGGGATATGGTTTAGGGGGTAGACAGGAGCGGGTGGACGTGATGATCTCAGAGGGCTTTTCCAACCGAGCGATTCTGTGAGTCTGTGAATTCTCGTGGTGCATTAAAGGGTTTTCAAACTCTTTCGGGCTAAATGAGCTCGGTTAGCTCAAACCACCTTCACAGGGTATTTACACTACCCTGGCTAATGTGTGAGTCAAATTAAGGAGGCAAATACAGTTCCTTCCGCAGGCAGAGCCCTAAGGCAATCATCTTTGCAGAGGAGAAGTAACTCGTACTCAGGATGGGAACTGAAAGGTGAATGTCTGAGGCCAAAGAATCAGGTTTTTAAAGGCTGACACACCAAATGTATTTTCCTTAGCTTATAACATAACGTACATATGCCTACACCCCAAGCCAATAAACCCCCAGCACATTGCATTCCTCAGGTCCCCAGGTAGCGTTCAACCTCCTTCAACCGCACTGCGATCACCAGGAACCCCCACGCTACTGGATCCATGTGTTTCTAATAAACCCACATGCAGCTCCCAGAATCATCTCTTGAGTCTCACTCAGAAGCCAAACAGCCAGCGAAGCTCCACCATCCCAGGCCCTTTGGCAGACCCATCCACAAAGAGTCAAAGGCCTTCCAGCCCTATGAGAAACTACAAAACCAGCCAAAGCCACAAGTTAAGCTGCACTAGGGAAAACGTGAAAACAACATGATTTCCAAAACACAGCAAAACAAAACTAGCAGACATCACATCCCTTTGAAAGCCTCCTAAAGGATGCTAAACACAGAGCATGTTTGCAAGCAGCCAAAACACAAACTAGGCTGTCTTATGGGAGGGGTATGGTGGTATCAGTAGGCATGAGACCACAAAACTCAGACTGAAAACCCCTTAGGAGTTCAGGCCATGAGACTCCAGACATACAAAAGCCCTTTCACAAACCGTTCTCCCAGCAAGAGCTTTGCCAGGGGGGCACTAGGGAGAGGAATGCAGACAACGTTTAAACCGGGGGAGCTGAGGTGTTTTCCCAGTGCCGAGACCAGAACATGCACCCTCAGCAGGGGTTGCCCAGAGGGGTTGTGGTGTCTCCATCATTGGAGATACTCGAATACTCACATACGCTGACTGGTCCAAGCCCTGAGCAACCTGATCTGGTCAGACCTGTTTTAAGCAGGGAGCTTCACAGAAGACTTCCAGAGGTCTCTTCCAACCTAAATTACTCTGTGCCTCTGGTCATGCTCTGACTGTACGATGGGATGAGACGTGGGTATGAATCACCTCCCACTCCTACAGCAATGAAGGATGGCTGTGAGCAAAGGGTGGCAAAGTCTGATTCAGTCCCCTGGTGTCCGGACACTGCTGAGAGCAGGACTGGGAGCAGACACACTCTGCTGAGCATCCACAGCTTAGGAATAGCTGAAGTGAGCAAAATGTGGCAGCACGTTAAGGCCTGCAGTCTGTCCAGCACAACATGTTGAACGTGCTGGCTGCCTTAGCTCTCCATACCCAACAGTGACCAGAAGAGGGAAAATCTGACCCTTGGCATATTCCATATGCAGAGCAGGACAGGACAAGGCTTTCAGCTGCAAAACACAAACTCCTGCTTCAGCTACCTGCAGCCATGATTAGCTGCTATCTGTCAAGTGCCACCTCAAACATGAATTCCCTGCTCCATAGTTTGCAAAACAGCACAAAGTACAATGAAATTATAAACAGCAAGTCTAAAGATACACGATAACCCCAAGAAGGCTCAGTGCACTTTGGCTTGCAATACCAAGAACTGGGACTGGCCTACAAAAACCTGAGCAGAGACAAAGTTAAATTGTGTATTAGAACAGACCAACATGGCCTATCACTAAATGACTTTAACTTGAAAGCGGACGTATCACAATCAACTTTCCTTTTCCTGTCTAGGGCACTTTCAGTATAGATTATGGTATGGAAAGACAGTACTTGCCACAATAGGTATAGATTAGTTTAGAGTCTATAAATCGGACTTTGAGGTTGTGTAGAACAGCAGGCTCATGGAGATAGCTGAGCGCCGTGAGGTCATTTTCACCCACGAGTATGTCAGGGTTTCGCAAAGGCGGCAGTTCCTTCGTCTTCAGATCTAGGGAATATTCTAGGTCCTGAAAATCAAATGGAAACAGGCATTGAAAGAGCTGGTGTTCAGGTTTCCTCCTTTAGTCCCTGCAACCACTCTTCCCAGCAAAATATGCCTAAGTTACAAAAACACAATGCAAGATTTAAATCATCTGGCGATTTGAGTTAGCAGCTCTTTCTCCAAAAACGTCACTTAAAATTTCCCAGAAGGGTTTTCTATGTGCGTAAAAGGCAACCATAAAGAGACATCATCCTTTTGGGCTAGTACTTAAGCAATTCCCTTGTTTTTGCTGCAAAATCTTTTTATTAAATAAACCAAAAGATGCTATATCACAAATCTAACCAGTTTTTCCACGTTATTCTCCTCTTGAGCAGAGCAGAGGAAGCAGATTCCCATCAGTCTATAGCCAGCTTAATGCACAGCAATACAGCACCACAGCGTTGGCAGAACACCGTGAAGAACACATAAACTGGAAAAAAATGCTACTTACGATTTTTGCCGATGTAAATTAATCTCTAGATGTTCTAACTGCATCTCTCTCTAGATGTAAAATTATTTCATTTACCTCCCGTTTCCTTGTCCTCGCACAATGTGACCCGGCTGGCAAACACCCCCATTCTACTACATGCAACGTGCAACGTGTGTGGTATCACTGCACAGCCTGGGATACGTGGGGGGAAATTCAATCCTGTCACATTAAAAAGGTTGTACTCGGCTTGCCATATAAGAAATGTGAGTGAGTCAAAGACCGAAATTCACTCAAGTAAGGTATTTTATTTAGAAGCTATAATCTGTTCTTTTTACTTCACTGCTATGCAGGCTTCTACATGCAAGTAGGATCTAAGCTGCCCACTGGTCAGAAAAAAAGAAATTAAAAAGAAATATTTGACCAACTGCAGTAGATCTTTAATTTCCATTCGAAAATCTGAAGAATCATCAGCATCAGGTATTACAATTAAATAATCATTTCAATGGCATGAGAAAAGAATCAGGCCTTCACTAGAAGGACGTGAGCTTTTTGTAGACGCGCCATCATTTCTCTACGCCACACACAGCTTCATTTTCATAATGCCCTTAATCCTTGCCCCTCTTTATTAATCTTCCGATGGTTATACTCAACTTAAAGTCACAGTTCTTTCTCTGCAACACTGGAACATCAAACCAGGGTTATAGGTTTAACAGCAGAAGTAGAAAAAGATGATACAACCGAACACAGCAGGCAGTTGGCTAAAAGCAACGATTTTTTAATTCGATTTATTTCAAAAAAATCAGGCAAAATGGATTTTTGTCCCTAAACGGTATAATTTATCACACCTAAAAAAATACTACTGGAAGCTGTTGGACAAGAACAATTGCAACACACATAAACGCAGGTATATTTTGACACCAGAGCTTCCTGCAGTAGATACACACATTTCCGCCCAAGAACAAGAGCAATCGGCTCACAAACAACAAGCAGACCTTACCTTGCCCTCTTCAAGCCGAAGCTGGAGGACTTTATCTCCAGGCTTATAATCCTTGAGAAGTTCTGCCGACTTCCAGACCTCCTCTGGATCAGGGATCCAAACCCTGGCGTACTGCAACACAACAACAGCAGCAAAACATCAGTGACTTCTTCTTGCGATGCAGTTAAACCATCAATGTACATGACACCAAAACCGTTTCTTTTCCTTTTTTAAATACACGTTTAACAGCCAAACCCTTAAGCAAGAGACAAGTTACTTAGTACGTCTGAGGCAAGGAAGTTGTTCTGCTGATAAAAGGCTACACGAGCTTAATTTTATTGCCCACGCAGAAAGAAAAAGGCATTTCCCATGCAAAATAATGTTTCAAGATAGGCGTTCAATGTTGAAAATCTAAAAAGATTTTTAAAAAATCCACGTTTTCAGAGAGATCAAAAACTTGGCTATCAAAAAAATTACTTGGTGGGACTCTTCTGAGCGAGTTCTAAACTTATTTACAGCATAACATTATAGGGCTTCTTTTTGCTCCCGCTCCCCCAAGAGAACACTTTGGCACATCCGCGTTAATTCAGGCAAAGCTACCAGGTCTCAAGTATGAAAAGCTCTTCCCTCTGTAGCTGTGAACAGGGCAGGTTTAAAATGGATTACCTCCAGAACGTCAAAATTTAAAAAACCTAAAAGATGTGGTGGAAAAGGCCTCCAAACAGTAGGAAAAAACCAAAGCAGCATTCCAGTTAATGACCATTTTCACCCAAACTTTATTAATTAAAGCAACCCGGAACAACCATACAACCCGTTTGCAAAAACAAAAATAGTATTCACAGTATTAAATGAGTAAAGATAGAATGGTTCTCGCTCATTCAAGAATCAATTAAAGGTGCATGGAAACCGTCTGGTTACTTCTGCAGCTGCATGTACATGCGAATACACAGGTGTGCAAACAGCTCTTGAGTAACACAAGGAAAAGGCTGTGACATTTTAAACGCATTCAAGCTTCTGAACTGATGCTCTTGCAATGCCCGGAGAGCCCCGAGACCATCCCACACCCACCACCTTCGCAAACAAAACAGCTTCTGGGCTCTAGAGGTGCAGCCACGTTACAAAACAGCCTCGATCCGCTAAATTATTTCAAAACAACCGTAATGCATTTGTCAAAGCACGGCATTTGACGGCAGAGAAAACCACACCGGGTCATACAGCTTCACCACCTCATCTCACACAACTTATTTTTGTTAGCATCTCCTGCCTCGACGCTGAAGTGGGTTTTTTTTCTTCTTACTAACCCAGTTTTCCCCACTGCTTAAAATCACTAACTCCTTGTTTCTGCTAGGGGTTTTTTTGAAAGACCCAATTTCTTGTTGCGAGACACGAGACGTGTTCAGCAAAGGCAGAGGGGCTGAGGAGCGAGACCAGAGGAGCCCCTGGCCCTGGATCAGGGTACGCACCCTGCCCAGCTGCGGCTGCAATGCCTGGAATTATTTGGAATTATAGCCCTAATTATTTAGGGCTACAAAGATGATGAAGGGAGTGGAGCATCTCCCTTCTGAGGAGCGGCTGAGGGAGCTGGGGCTCTTTAGTTTGCAGAAGAGGAGACTGAGGGGAGACCTCATTCATGGTTATAAATATTTCAAGGGTGAGTGTCACGAGGATGGAGCCAGGCTCTTCTCGGGGACAAACAATGATAGGACAAGGGGTAACGGACACAAACTGGAACACAGGAGGTTCCACTTCAATTGGAGAAGAAACTTCTTCTCAGTGAGGGTGACAGAGCCCTGGCCCAGGCTGCCCAGAGAGGTTGTGGAGTCTCCTTCTCTGGAGACATTCAAAACCCGCCTGGACGCCTTCCTGTGTAACCTCATCTGGGTGTTCCTGCTCCGGCAGGGGGATTGGACTGGATGAGCTTTGGAGGTCCCTTCCAATCCCTAACGGTCTGGGATTCTGTGGTTCTGTGATTCTGTGGAACTTCTCAAAGCAATTTGCTTCCCATACCCAGGCTGTTTGTCAAGAACAGAGCACGTGAGCAATTTACAACAGCCTAAATCAGTGTCTTCTACCCCTAACACACTGCAGCCTTTAAAGCACCGCTGCTGCCTTCATCGAGAAAGCTCCCGAACCCCTGAAAAGCTGAAGCCATACTTGTCAATCAATCCCCTCTACCAAATGAAAGAATTATGAAATAAAGAATTAAAAATTAACTTTCGTTGCTGTACTACAGAATATGCTCCCATACCTGGTCTTTCTTTACCTTCACCGTATGTTTATGCCAGCCGTAAGAATCTACTTTATACAAAGACAAGAAATAGTGTTCTTTGCAGTAAACATGTGGTTGTGGGTTTTTTTTCTTTGAGCTTTATTAGTTTCGTATATGTATTTGCTATTTTTTTCTGTGCAAAAGTGCAGTATTACTTTATTATTTACCAGAAGATGTGCATATTGATTAATTCTTTGACAAATGAGAGACCCCCAAACCAACTCTTCAGTAGGAGCTCCTGCCATTCACAGGGCACTGCAGGTAACAGCAGTGGAGGGAACAAAGGGCAGTGGGGCAGCCGGGAAATCAGCAGCAGGAGCCATGGTTTGGGCACTTGGATTATTTGGTTTTAGCCCTGCTTGCATCCACAACTCGCAGGCTAAGAAACCTCATTTGAGTTAAAATGAAGGCGTGTGCTTCCAAGTGTACGTGTCAATGCAAGTACAAACCTAGAGAAGCTGCAGAGTAATCCCAAAATAATTAACCAGGATGTGGCAATAGAGGTGCAGTATTAGAGTCCAGTAGTGCGTTCAGGATCAACGTCTTCCTTCCTTTCCACTTGGTTTTTAAACAAAGGGTTCCCCATAAAACCTTCACAAACACACAGATATCCAGCTTATCTCAATGCACCTCTTCACAGAACCCTCTTCTATTTAAAAAACCAAACCAAACCAAACCAAACCAAACCAAACCACCTAAAAGTCAAAAACCCTGCCAGAAAGCGAGGAAGTGTTTTAGTTTGACACAAAGATGCTGCAGTGTCAGACACAGCCACAGACTGAACATGTACCTCACGTTACCCAGGCTCCCCCTCCTCAGTCTTTCTGATGGGATACTGCACAGGAATTTACAGAAACAAAGGTAATGTGAAAGTGGAAAGCATTTAAATACTGCCTAGCAAAACAACAGGTTAGCAAGGTGGTTCCTCTAGGCTACACAAAGCAAAGTTTCCTGATGTAAAAAAGGCAGCACCCTTGAAAGACACCAATACTGTTAACTCCAGGCAGCAAATGCTGCGCAGCAGTTTCTAACTATGCGATCTATGCCAGCATGAAATAGGCACCTTTAATTTATTCCGCCGGAACTGTACATTTTCTACTGTCCAGAGAAG